AGAGGCGAGGAGCTCAAACACTCAAGCTCGACTCGACTCGTTTACACCCCTAGTCGTTATCAATGTAGGTTGATGTAATACATACAATAGTTATAATCATCAATCTAACACTTATGTGATGGATAAGCATAATTATCTTGGGATAATATTCATATTAAGATATTTTGATTAGAATGAGCCTCAAAAATTTAAAATCTAATTTGAGAGTAATGCAACATTATGAGTTTACTCTTGTATTATTCTCATCTTAATATAAATTTAAAAATTTTAAAGCTCATCTTAATCAAATTTATATTAGAATATCTTGATATAAATTCTGTCTATTGTGTTTGATGAGTTTGAGACTTTAGTAGCTCTAATATAATTTTGGAAGGTATAATGTATACTAAGAAATTATGAATGCATTAGTTGCTTGTGAAGATCTATTAGTTGAGAAGTTATCATGTCTATTTGTTATGTTGTCAAAATTTTCATCGTGAATCTTTCCTTTCATTTGAAATGATCGCCATGAAATTATCATGGCTCTTTCTTTAAGAATCCACCCGGAGTTGGTAGTAGTCACCATAATTACTAACATACCACATGGAGCCCAATGCACAACATACCCATTGAGTCTTCTACAAGGATTGTGTGCGACTCGATTAGGTCCATGTAAAGGAGAGAGACAAGACCTAGAAGAAGATCAAGAGTCCTAATATTATTAAAAAAACTAGTTTGAGACTAACATCAAGTGAAATGCTTAAAAAAGGCTAATAAATAATCAATTTTTTTCAGTCCACACAATCTCAGTGTACAAATGTCATTCAATTTCACAAATCACAAGACCAATGTATCTTCAAATCAATAACCTGCGGTATCTCTGCTATGCACAAAAAAAAAAGCATGTGATCAAAATGAAACATACTTCAAACATGAGCAAGCTGAGTCAGAAAACATAAAAATGATCGCCCATATAAGCAGGAATGCCTCGAGAACCAACGGAGAACAGCAAACCAGGCAAAGAAAGAGTAGCATAAAGAATAGTTTTATGCCAAAATTTGATTATACCATCTAACTTTGCTAAGATATTGGAATAGAGGTTTTAAGAAATGTTTGAAAATATGTTTAGAAGAACTAAGCCACAAAGCCTTTCCTGCACCCTCAACCAGCACAGATAGAGAAACAATTTTTCTAGGAATAACCATAAGGAAGAAGCTCTGGTAGATTACAGGAACCGTTCCTTAAGACACCTACAATCATCAAATTATACTCACTGGGAATATAAGGATTATAAATGTTAGCCCATTCATGAACTGCTTTGTCATTCAACCAAGGATTTCAATACAACAAAAACAACAACATCAAGCCTTTATCCCACCACGTGGGGTCGGCTACATGAATCTTTTTTCTCCATTGTGTCCTATTAAAAGTCAAATTCTCGTTTAAATCTAATAAGAAAGGTCATTCCTAATATTTTCTAACCAAGTCTTTTTAGGTCTACCCTACATTTTTTAACATAAGTCAAATCTAATACCTCTACTCTCCTAACCGGGTCATCGGAAGGCCGCCGTTTTATGTGACCAAACCATCTAAGTCGACTCTCTCTAATCTTATCTTCTACTGGAGCTACTCCAACCTTTTCATGTATATGTTCATTTCGTATCCTATCTCTAAGGGCAAAGCCACTCATCCACCTGAGCATCCTCATCTCTGCCACACTTAACTTAGTATTATGCTTCTCTTTTAATGGCCAACATTCGGCACCATAAAGCATTGAAGGCCTCACTACCATCTTATAGAATTTACCCTTAAGTTTGAGGGGTACATTTCTATCACATAACAAGCCCGATGCATTCCTCCACTTCAACCATCCAACTTGAATTCTACTGATAATATCCCCATCTATTTCACCATCACTCTGAACAATAGATCCAAGATATCTAAAACGTGTACTCTTATTAATGACTTTATTGCCCAAAGTCACAATCCCCTCACTAGGTCTATTACGACTAAAATTACACTACATATATTCCGTTTTAGATCTACTCAAGCGAAAACCTTTAGACTCTAAGGTTGACCTCCATAATTCAAGTTTACCTTCAACTCCCTCTCTAGTCTTATCAACAAGAAGAATGTCATCAGAAAAAAGCATACACCAAGGTACATCCTCTTGCAAATGTCTAGTGAGAACATCCATGATTAAAGCAAAAAGATATGGGCTTAAGGCTGATCCTTGATGTAACCAAACCGAAATAGAAAAATACTTTGTCAACCACCTTGTGTTTGAACACAAGTAATAGCTCCTGCATACATATCTCTAATGATTTGAATATAAGCATTATTGACTCCTTTCTTTTCAAGAACCAAGGATTTCAATAAAACAAAAAATTTTATTATTGCTTATTTGAAACATCATTGAAGGTGTAAGAGTTAGCCACAAGTTTCAACATCTTCCAACATTGAGATGTATGAGTAATGGCTTGATTCCAAAGTGAAACATATTTATGCTTCCACCATTTAGCTAGGAGAATCACCATTTAAGAAATGCCAAATCATAGAACAAATATAAGCATGATTAATATCAGGCAAAGCAGAAATACCCAGTCCACCATATTTTAATGGTTTGCAAGTGTTCTTCCAGGAAACTAAATGCAGTTTTTTTGCATTAACATCCCCATGGAACAAAATCTGGTACATAACTTATTGAACCTCTAATCCCAAATGCAATTTAGTTCCAAATGGTGAAACAAATGTATTGGAGTGCAATTTAGTTCCAAATAGTGAAACAAATGTATTGGAGTATGCGCGCATATGCAAGGGTTTTTGCTTTCCAACCCTCCAACAGTAAAGTAGCCTTATTCAGCAATGGTTGAATGTCTGAGATAATTAAGGACTACCCTAGCAGCTATAGAAATGCCTAGATATGTGTTACGCCGGCCCATCCTGGGCCGGCTGGACCGGTCTTGGCTTATAGCCGGCGGAAGAAAGCAGGCCGCGGGGG